TTGCCGTCCTTGCCAATTGGCCCCAGAACCCGCTGGCTGCAGCCCAGCCCTGCGCTTGTTGTTCGCCCGTTGTCGCCGGCCATGAGGGTAACTCGGGCACTCAACGAGACCCGCAGCTTCCATTTTGGGGTCTGGACAGGGGCTATGGAGTGCTGAGTCCCGCGTCGATCTCTAGGCACAATTCCCAAGCGTCTTCCTTCCACGTTAGATTGAATTCCTCTTGAGGTAATCCACGTAAAATTCTCAGGAGTCGAAGCGCAGATGGAAAAAAAAAAAAAAAAAAGGGGACCATGAAACCGTATTGAATTTGGCAGATGCCCGTACAGGAAAAGAAAAATAAATAAAAACAAAAAGAAATGGACAATCAGGGAATCGAACCCTGGACCACCCCCAGTCACGTGACTCGGTCAATTGTCGACTCGAATCGATGCTAAGGGGGTATTATACCACTAAACCAATTGCCCATGTTTGGATGCTGCATATTTCACCACACTGAAATTTCTTCAAAGGGAAGAATTATCGAAGGTTCCGGATTGAATCATGGAACCGTTGTGGATTAATTTGCCATTGGCTGGTGTTGATTGGATCTGGGAGGAGGACGGTGACGGGAAGCTTAACTGGAGACTCACTGGCAGGCGCGATTGGCTCGATTTTGGCATGCACGCCAACAATCGTGTTATAGACCACGTACAATAATGCAGCCGCCATTAACACAAGTGATAATTGACTGTAAACATTTGGGAAACTGTCTCGGAATTAATTGAGTAATTCAGGATGAAAGACTCAAAATGATGAAGATTACTCTGGTAGAACAATCAGAAATTCAGAATGCCCATGTCCAGCGCCAATAAAAGTATATATATATATCACCTGTGGAGCTCATTCATTCTTTAGCATCAAGAAAGAAAAACCAGAAGCCCGGAATAATGAAGAGAAAATAAATAAGACAGATATCTGCTCAATTGAAAACTGAAAAGAAATCGTATTTTACATAGTATGGATTAATGTTATATTGTAAACATACAAAAATACCTAGGTAGGCATCTGATCAGACTCGGTCGGGCAGTCCGCCTAGTAGGCTGTTAGAGACCTATTATACCCCTGTGAAATGTCCTCATCATTACTGGCAAAAGTGGGCAGTCGAAGAGGACCACAGAATGCTAAAAGTTTTACAACTCAGATGTGTTGAGGGTACAATGGTTGTACACCCGGCGTAGATATATCTTATTCAAGTGCGGATTTTCCCGCTTTTAAGTGCAATGATAGCAACCACTCAACGGCCGGCCGTCAAGCTAGGACGCACAGAACTCATACAACAAAATCTATGAACACTCTACTGGATTACAGCCTCAAGGTTCTCCGCAGTCCCTCCTGAATCCGTTTCCCCTCTCCAACACCCCCCCCCCCCCCCCC